ACACATCGCTCCCCATGCTCATTTCTGATGATGTATTACCTCCCCACATTATAGTAGGCATGTGTGCTCCTTACACATCGCTCCCCATGCTCATTTCTGATGATGTATTACCTCCCCACATTATAGTAGGCATGTGTGCTCCTTACACATCGCTCCCCACGCTCATTTCTGATGATGTATTACCTCCCCACATTATAGTAGGCATGTGTGCTCCTTACACATCGCTCCCCATGCTCATTTCTGATGATGTATTACCTCTCCCACATTGTTGTTTATTACTGATAGATTCACCCCCGCTCCTCCTACCCCAGGGCGTGAAACAGGACCAGAGGAAGCACATTGTGGCGGATGAGTTCCAGAACACCAGCCGACCGGGCATCTATGCGCTGGGGGACGTCTGTGGCAAGGCCCTGCTGACTCCTGGTACGTGGGACGAGGGGGGGGTCCACCTACACCAGACCGTGTGGGAAGTGTGGAGGTGTGTCATCATGCCAAGATATTAAAAATGCAGAAGTCTGCCTTTGCTTATACTGATGTTTTGTCCTGAATTAACTTAGCCTTGCTCAAATTCCTGTTGTGGTTTATCTTGAAGTACTCAGTGATGTTGAAATGAGAGCTCTGTGCAGCACAATGTTCCAAATAGGCTCGGGCAGTATGATGGTACTATGGTATACCCTAGTATTTAGAATCCCAAAGGTATTATTTTATATACCATGAAAAACAGACGCTCTCCTTTCTATGACACTGAGATGGAGATGCTATATGGGGGCTACGTTAGTGGTGACTTGGAGCCTCGCTTCAGCAAAAAAAAGATAAGTCAAAGAATAGCGCGCATGCGTGGCTTAATGACACAAAAACAAAGTGCGGTCCATGCAGTTGGAGCATGCGTGCCATACGTAGCGTATGCTGTTGGATCATGCGTGCCATACGCAGCGTATGCTGTTGGAGCATGCGTGCCATGCGCAGCGTATGCTGTTATTTATTTATTTATTAATTAAATACTGTCATATACCATATACTGGGGTGAAATAGTTAGATGGCATGATGGTATAAAATTACACACCACCAAAGCCTACTGCAAAGTTGAATTAAAAATATTTACATATGCCATACGCAATAGCGGAGGAGGTGGGGGGGGCAGAGGGCCACCCGCCCCTGGAGCCGATCACAACAGGGGGACCCACTACAAAATTTACTCTTCTCATAATAGACAATCCTGCAAAATCCTTTTATTCACCAAGTATGAAAAGTATGAGGAATTTATTCATGTGTCTCGGCATAAACATACAATCAAGGCAGACAAAAGTCAACAGACAAAAAAATGCAGGTAGAAATAAAGCAAAATAAGAAAAAAAACATGGAGACATATAGTTAATGGTGAGGCAGCCGGAGTGCAAACTTTAGGGTTTTTGCAAAAAAAAAAAAAAAAAACGTTTTTCACATTTTCCTACAATTAGATCTTCTGAGATTATATTTTAAAATTCCAAGAATTTTTAAACCTTGTCTGTCAGGTCAAAAATCTTCCCGCTGTGCCCACAGCCTGCCCTTCGCTCCTGTTCTTCTGTTTGTTATGGTCAGTACAAGCATGTAAGCCGAAATGCAGAACTAGATCACAGCTGGCAGTTAATGTTTTCTTTCCCTGCCTGGCAGTTGCCATTGCTGCAGGTAGGAAATTGGCTCACCGGCTCTTTGAGGGCAAACAGGATTCGAAGCTGGAGTACCGTAACATACCCACGGTTGTGTTTAGTCACCCGCCCATCGGCACCGTCGGCCTCACCGAAGGTGAGTTGCTTCATCGTTTTAGCGACACCCACTCTAGTAATTACATTAGATGTGCATTACAGTGATTGCATTTAACAGAAATGGATATGGGCTTCTGAATGTGGAGGTGCTTAGCATGCTTATGTTAGCATTACCTTCCATAAGTTGCAGGCTGCAAATGGTTAAGTGTATAAACAGTTATTAAAAAAATAGCATCTGGCGGAAAGATCTGCATTGGCAATACGAGCATTTAACACAACAGCCTTCAGCCTACAGGGTATCATATGACTTGTGTCTTGCAGCGGAGGCCATTAAGGCTCACGGGAAGGAGAACGTAAAGATATACACAACTGCGTTCACTCCCATGTACTACGCCATGACAGCACGGAAGTCTCAGTGTGTCATGAAGCTGGTGTGTGTGGGCAGGGAGGAGAAGGTGAGAGGCCTGCACTGTACACTGCATCCTGTATGCCCTAGTTTCTTGGCTATTCTAAGGAGATGGTGCATGTTCTGCCTCACTAATATGGGGTTTGACTCATTCTGCCCATGATGGAAGGTCACTGGTTCAGATCTCGTGGTGGGCAGTGATCATATCACCATTGACCCTTAACCCCAGTGAGTTTAGGGACAGGCTAACCTTGCTTCGTGATCCACAATTTTGTCACTTTGGACAAAAGTATCTGCCGGTGAAGTAAATGTAAATTAGGTCAGACTAGGCTAGGCTTACTGCACACACTAACCCTTTAAAAATGTCACGGTTCAGAACTGACCTCTGTGCCCTTCCCACGTGACACGCAGGTGGTGGGGCTTCACATGCAGGGCCCAGGCTGTGACGAGATGCTGCAGGGTTTCGCGGTGGCGGTGCAGATGGGTGCCACCAAGGCCGACTTTGACAGGACCGTGGCCATCCACCCCACCTCTGCGGAGGAGCTGGTCACCATGCGCTAGCCCTCCACCCACCTCTCACCATCCCTGGGGAGCCAGTGTACCTTTTGACCAAAGTGGATGAATGACTGGCTTTCCCACATACCAGCTGCATCATGTTTTCATTACTGATTAAACTTGAAGTTACAGTTTTATGTGCTTCCTGTCTTTTACAGCAATTCAGATCTATGGTAACAGTACAGCTCAAACTGCCACTATATTCTGCTGATCCAAATCTGAATTCACTATCATTCCAAATTACTGGAAAATCGATGCTATATTTCATCTAACCGTTGACTTAACTAATGTTCTGCCCAGATTGAAGTGGTCATTATTGCAATATCAGTAAATGAATTTCAAGAGCAACACTGACACCCAGTAAAAAAAGAGTTTTAATTCTAACACATATGTCCTGTATCAGTGTTTACTGCCAACTTTAAGAATGTATATGGTTAGAAACATCCAGTGCACTGAGTCCTGCAAAGAGCAATTTCCACTGAGACGGAGTGATACAGTATATTTATTAAAAGTCCTGCCAGTGAGGGGTCACAGCATGTCTCGAGAGCCAGGTTTAGCATTGTCCTTCATCATGCTGCTGTAGACCATCTTATAAACTCCTAGAACGTCTCTAGCAGAGGGCCGTTGGGTTGGATCCTCCTGTTTGCATCGGCTGTGGATCTCGAAGAGCTGGAAATGGGCCACGTCGGCTCCTGGCACCTTTCCCAGCAGGAATCGCGCCACATCGGGGATCTTCCACACGTCGGTCTTCTCATCGTAGCTGGGCATGAGCTCGTCGGAGAAGAGCTGGACCTCGGTGTGGGGCCACAGCTGCTCAGGGGCCACAAAGTCGCCGCCCAGCTCCCGGCGGCCGCACTTCACCAGCACGCCGCGCTGCCGGTCAACCTCCGGAAGCGCATCCAGGTCATTGGCCACCAGGTGGAAGTCAGTGGTGAGCAGAAACTGGGAGAGTGTTTTCTCCAGGCTGCTGGAGTCGCACATGACGCGGGTGCCCACAGGGCTGCTGTGAAGGAAGCGCAGCACAGAGACGTAGTCCAGGGCCAGGCGCAGCCGCGTCTGCCAGGTGTCCATGACCTGGTACTTCTTCTGGCCCAGCACTGCATTCAGGTTAATCAAGGAACCCAAAGGCTGATACTCAGTGACAAAGTTGTGGTCTTCTGGGCAGAAGCCCACTAACAGCACCACATGCGGTCCCTGCAGGGCTTTTAGCATGGTCAGGCCATGCAGGAAGTCTTCACGGTACTCTTGGTTTGACAGCTGGGACAGCGCTACCTTGTGGCCCTTCCATTCTGACAGATAGACCTGTAATGGAAAAATAAGCTTGTCACTGGGCAGAAAATACCAGATTTCCAAAGAAATGTAGTACAGGATGCCCCCAGGTTATGAATGAGATCTAGTGCCTAAGTCTGTCTTTAAGTCAGATTTATAGGCAAGTCAGAAAAATAATACTGCACATAATTTATTATTAGTGTATAAAGTACATGCGGTATGGTACCTTGAGCCGACAAACTGCTGAAGCCATGCAATGTTTTCATGAGCGTCACAAAGTCATGCATGCGTTGATTGCTAGTAGCCATTGTATTTAAATGTTTAATATAATAGTCAGTTCATAAGTACAAGTTGTTCGTAAGTAGGGCTGTCACAATCAAGTCACGATATAATCGTGATTATATGGCGCATGCACAATCATCACCAGGGCTTTAGATGACGGGTGAAACATTTGTGAAACAGGACTTGTGAAAAGAAATTTAGCTGTTTAGCTGTTTACAGCCACTGAATAATGAACCTGGATGAGCACGAGTCTTCGGAAGAAAGCTGCCTTTACATTTTAATTTTAACAAAGACCTACACACATTAGCAAATACAGTGGTACCTCAGAACTTGAAATTTATCCGTTCAGAACTCCGGATCGAATCCTAAAAAGTTTGAGTTCTGATCGACTTTTCCCCATAAGAAATAATGGGAAACCAATTAATTGGTTCCCGGCCCCAAAAAAATTACATTGAAATATGTTTTTTTTAGCATTTAAAGACAAAATGAACCGTATAAAACAAGAAAAGCATATACTGCACTATACACATCTAAGCACATTTATCAAAACAGTCATTTTTAAAGTAAGAAAATACATGTATCCAAACAACGTGTCCTGCCCCGATTGTCCGCTACTTCCGTGTGCCACACCCCCTTGTTAACCCAGTGTGGAATCCCAGTGTGATCAGCTGTTTCTGGTTGTTGTCATTAGCCCTCTGTATTTAGTCCGCGTTTCAGTTTGTTTCCCCAGTCCGGTTATTGTATTGTCCGTCTGCGTTTTGCCTGCCTTACCTGTAATTAAACCCCCGTATTCCCCGATACCCTGATGTCTACACCTTTGTCTCCGTTCCGTCCCCGCTGGGCACGACAATATTATAATTAAATGTATTAATGGTTTATTATTAATATTAAAATAATAAGAAATCTTTATTTTTTTATTTATTTTATTATATAACAATAATTACTGTTACTGTCTATCATTGTCTAAATGTCTTTTACTGTCTAAATATATGTATTCAGCTAGTGTAAACATGCAAGATGCTACCACAGCGAATGCGAGGCTGAGACTGAAGCGTTACCCTTTGTTTCTGCTGAGAGACGTGCTGCGTAACTTTCACGGTTTGACTTCTGAGATTTAGATCGAGCTCTAGGTAATTTTTTTTCGAACTGGTTGGTTCGACTTTAAAGAAATTAGAGTTTTAATGAGTTCAAGAACTGAGGTACCACTGTACTCTCATGTGATTTATACAAATCAGAATCTGAAAAACCTTAGAGATCCCTGAAGGAAATTATTTCATGGTATAAACTATAAATAAGGTGTAAACCACTGCTCACAAGCCGTTTCCCGCCTGACACATTATAATTCCGCGCTACAGGATGAGTCCGACCTGCTTGACAGCCCCCTGGCCAATCATCTTCAGCTTGCGCACCTCCCGACGCACTTCCGGGCACTGCAGCCAGGGGGAGCAGTTCTTCATAATGCCCATCTTAAATTGGCCAGGTGGGCAGGCGCCATGTGGAAATGCATGGGGTCCGCTGCTCTGGTTTAAGAAGTCTATGTACAGGTAGATGAGGAAATTGGCAAACAGCAGGGCCCCCAGGCACACCAGTACGATGGGCAAGCTGCGGCTGGTACTGCTGATGCCCTTTGTCATGGTGGCATCTTTGCCTGTATATCCACAGAATACATGTCAAACACCTACATACCTTGCATTCATTACAGTTACACAACTGAAGCATTTCAGTAACGAGAGACATCATTACAGGGCTAGGAGGCAGGTATGAAACAGTTAAAATACAGAAATTCCGATCAAAATCAGATAGCGGGTTTTGTATTGCCCTGGGGTGGATTACTATGAGAGTACTGTACGGGAGATTTCTAACCGAAATAATAATACTCTTCCGTCTGTGAAAGAAGATTACATTAAAGTGGGATATTCACTATATTACCTACAACCATAGGAATATTTGACACGTAACATCCATTCTAAAAACGGGACTTACTAAAATCTGTGCAGAATACTTACTCCATGTCTAACCGGTATTCCAGCTGTCTGACCAATTCCAGCTGACCAGTTGAGAACTGCAAATCTGGGATCTCTATCCATTTATCTTATTCGCGAATTATTCTCAAAATACTTTATAATACTACAGTAAAAGGTCATAGTTATGCTGTGCCCTATTTTTCCATAAGCAGATTCTTACCTTCACACCCGTGCTTTATGAAACTGTACAACCTTCTTTACTTGTTTTGGTGGTAAAGTTATATTTGCAAGATACAGCGGACGCCTGAGAGTCACATTTGACCCGGAACCACTGTCGGTTACCATAGAATAAATGGACCATTGTTGCGTTCTTAGCAACAAGTACTTAAATATTATCTACCGCCATCTACTGGTCATTATACAACATGCATGCATTTTTCCATACACCGATGTTGACCGAGTGAAGCGTTTTAAGAGGCACGCAAAGAAATGCCACGGGAACCTATTGTACTGTATACCTTTCCTAACACCCGTAATAAAACTCATTTGGAGTGGTCCTAAAAGAACCGTACTACTTTCAGTGCTACGGATTATGCTTTTACTTGAATTGCATCTCAGTTTTTGTGCATTAACAATGTACATGATGTGCAAATTATTTGATTGGCCACAACAATGTCATGATTTATTAATGACAGTCGTTAAAGGACTCAGTTTCAGCAGGATGAATCATGTAATTAAATTATTTTCAAGTAGTTCTAAAAAAAACAAATACAAATTCAACAAAAAAATTGAATAACTTCACAGTGTTTACACGAACAGTCAGCTGAAATATAAAATCTTGGTTTAAATAACAATACATATTCACAAACATGGTAAATAGAAAGCATCACAATAATATTGGGCCCAAGTTACCATGGCAGTTTTACCCTTTGGGCGAAGAGTTTGAGGAAACATTGGCCCACATCCAGTACAAACACAACAATCATAGAAAGTCATTTTCATTTTTGTTTTCAAAGGCTTCAAGTAAAGGGGAAACCATTCGGTTAAAATACATATATATAAAAATAATTCAGATCTAAGAATTCAAAAACAAAGGCAATTAAATTTCTCCTAAAAAGGCAGAATGGTAGATGACTGTAACAGCCCAGAAGGAAATCTCCTTCTCAGAGTCTGAAACTCACAGTTAATGAGGGTGCAGAAATGTTTCACTGTAAGGCAATACTATCCTCACCACAATCAACCACATAGCATACAGTAATAAAATGGCCTTGTCAACATTCTAGAAATATCCAGAACCCATGGCGACCCGAAACGTGAGGCTTGTCTTTCAAGAAGCAACCAGGTCTGAGGAAAGATAAAGAAGCCAAGATCATTTTTATAAAATGTAAACTATGTTAGAGTTGACAACAAATAATTATGTGTACCATGATAATATAAAAATGCTGTATTGCATGGCAGTGGTTCTCTAACTTTTTTCACCTCAGCGTTAGGCGGGGGTCTCGAGGGGGTGTCACAGTACTATCACTCATTTGCACTTCATGTCAGTCACATCACATCACCATGTGGGTAAATTAAGCTTGCCGGAGTGGGCGCCCTGATTGTAGTTTGTGAACTAGGCAGGCTATCACTGAAAAGTACGAGATGGGCGGTGGGGGACCTCAGGTCGCCCCACAGGAACCCCGGGGTGGGGGGACCGGGGGAATCTATCAAACAGCACAGAGAATTTCTTAATAATGTGAGAATTTCTTAATAATGATGACAGTTGATTCTGTATAGTGTTTTTTTGGGGGGAGAGGGGGTGAGGGGCAGAAGATAAACACACATTTTTCTGTTGGTGGTGTGGGGGGGTTACCCTACAAGCTAGAACACTCACTGGCTGCGCACTACCATTATCACCGATGCTTAAATACACTGACATCTTACACGGACCACTAGAGGGCACCATAGTTTGAGAACCACTGCTGTCCTGTGGCCCCTTCCTGGGAGTGAGGCCATAGCTAATTCTCAAGGTAACAGTCAGAAATACAGCTAGCAAGGTGAGAGTCAAAATGCCAACATATGCCATTAAATGACTGTTGACAGAAAAAACAATTCCCTCATTTGATGAAAAATCATCTTAATGATAAATAAAGAATTGAGTGGGATCTCAAGCTCTAGAAGGCCTCAGAGCAGATATCATTGATCATGTCATGATGCTGAAAAAGAAGTAATTGTGGTTTTTAATGAAGGTTATGTTTCCCAATGGCAGCCCTTTCCATGACAAATAAAATTTCACTAATAGCCGCCTATCACGTTGCCATTTTTTGGCAACAGAAAAGTCCACCCCTTACTTCATTTACCCAGGTGGTTTGATGTAAATGATATAAAAGCTACCGCAAGTTTTTTTTTGTTTTTGTTTTTTCCAAAAAACCCTATTATTTATTAAAGGCAATTCAATTTACGTACTTTACAGATAAGGATCCCTGTAATCTTCAGTTATGATGGTGGATTAGCTGGAAAGCTTCATTAACTGACCTTCCCCTGGCAATGGATTCTACAGTTGCTTTTCTTTAAAATTTTTCTTTAGGAAATGAGCATGTGACCCCCTCCATGTTTGTCTTTGTATGTCTGGAAACCTCGACTATCACAGTCCCAGCAGTAAGTGGAAAATGTTGATGCTACAGAGACTTGGGGGACGTGTGATTAGGATAAGAGCTCCTCAGGGTCCGACTGTCCACTACCACACAATAACCCTGAAGCACTTCTGTGAACTGGTCAACAACGTTCTTCCATACTCCAAAACGTGCACCACAGCACTCAAACACCCCTTCCACCTTCAGCATCAAAGATCTCCTCAACCATTTTGAACCTGGGTGTTTCCCAGGAATCCAGACTAAAAATCCATAATTTAATACTTGGGGGGGGGGGGTCTTAAAAACATTAAATCCTGGGTGACACCGAGGGACAAGATATACACTGACAATAAGCATCCTCTGGACCGTCTGGCAGCACTCAGTCCCCGTCAGAGCCCCCGCGGAGGTAGGGCTCGTCTTGTGTCAGGAGTCCATCTGCGCTCTCCAAGTAGGCGCCGCCGTTCTCGGTGCTGCCCACCCCGCCGCCGCTGCCCAGGAAGGTGCCCACTGCCCGCCCCTGTCGTGCGTGCCCCACCGCGTCGCTGAACACTTTGTTGATCTGCTCCTCTGATGGCATCCACCAGTCCAGGTTCGAGGCACAGTGCATTCGGATGAACTCTGTGATGGAAGAGGGGACACAGTGGACCCCAGTTCAGTCAGACGCAGCCAATCCAGGCATCACTCCAATAGAAGGGCAAAACCATTGGAGTACCAAGAATGTGCTTTCCATGTAAATCAAGACCATATCATTTGGCCTCAGATAAACAATAAATTTATTAACAAAATATTTTAATATCTATCAATTTTAAACTTATTTGTATCCCATGCAGGGCTGTGGGAAGTCTGAAGATTATATCAGGGGACACCTTGCCGAGTCAACCGCAAGACAACACCTCTACTAACATTCAGGTGTCTATGGCACTTTTCCAGTGCCACGGAGATCCGAGCCGCACTCGAGCCGTAACCATGCTGACATGATAGTTTGACCAAACTGAGCTGGTTGCGTTGCCACCATCTGATTGGTCGAAATGCAAGAAGGTACAGATGTTCTCTGTATGGCTTATCTAAAGGAAAAGGGCACATTCTATACATTATCCATTATTAGAAGTATTGACACATTGTGATGTACTGATGCATTCATGATAATTTCCAACCTCCTACATAAAAAAGTGCTATAGAACAACTAAACGGAATGAATTTGTAGTGCAGATTTACGCAAGCGAATGCTAATTTTGCTGGTGTTTCAGGCAAACATGGCGATTCTCACAGACGTGCTAGCAGAAATGAGCACACAGTTTAACAGATTCACTCTTTACTTATGCTCAGCATGTACTACACTACAGTTACTATAACTGCTTTGGAGGTGAACGTCTGGCCATACATTTATAATTATGCATATGATGTATGACTATGTGTTGTGCTTTGGATGGGCTGTATCTGAAGTTAATATGTAAATTTCTCTGGTCTGCTGGACCAGGGAGCAGAGAGGGGACAAAAATGTGGACCCTCTGTGAGTCTCTGAGGACCAGGAAACACTGTTCTAGTTAGACCATAACTGAGAGCTCCCCAGCGTAGCACAGGACAATGTACCATGGAACAGGGGAACATGTATGATATTATCTTGTGTGGTTCCCTGGATGCGAGATACCTGAACATAGACCATATAGAATGTGACTTTATGTGGTGCCCCTGGACAGACCATATCCGAGCCCCAAAGCAGACAGTACACCATAAGAGACAGACCATGGATCAGTACCTCGCAGGCAGGTCACTTTGACGGGGTTGAGCGGCCGCCTCTCTGGTCCGGCCTCTCCCGTCTGCACTGAGCGCTTGCGCTTGCCCAGGCCGCACGAGTACTTGAGCTCGTCGGTGGTGAAGACGAAGCGGATCAGGTGGCGCAGCAGCCGGCGCCCGTCCTTCTTGGAGGAGTTGACGGCCTCGTCCCACTGCTTGCTGGTGATGAAGACTGGGTAGTTCCCCAGGAGCTGCTTGCTGCCCTAGGGGAGAGAGGATGGAATGCCGGAGTTGCCATGGTGATAAAGACAATGACAACACAGATGGTGACACAAGAACCATGAGCTAAATGAATGTGCTCATCTCTCATATCCTCCTGGAGAGCAAATCCACTGTCCTATTATTTAAATCATTAACTTGTTATAATTTCAACACATTAATCTTTTTACGCTTTTACAGTTTTCAACCCCCATTTTCTGCACTTTACTAAAGGCTTCTGCTGGTGCAGATGTTTAGAAACTCATCAGTCACATCCTGAGTTTCAGCTACAAACCTGGGGCTCATTTAAAAAAAAGAAATCGCTCAGAGTGTCCAGGATTAAGGTGTCTGGGGACTGGAATCTGCCACCTCAGCATCAGGGATGCGTGATTAATCCTTAGGCTGTGATGTACCATTTGTATGCCTGCCGCTCCTCTGGGTTTGGAATGAAGAGCTAATCTGGTTTTCATGCTAATCCTTTATCGACAAGCGAGGCTGCGGTTCATGCTATTAGTACAGCTTCATGCTGTCTGGAGGACGAGTGGCTCCGTGCTCTTTTCTGCACGTCTTTAAAAAACGAGTGAAACAAGCAGCTGTGACAGCCTCTGCGGGGTCGGCCTGGTCTGCGAGGCTGTTTCTACTGTATCTGCATTATGAAAATCCACTGCAAAGGCATGCTTTGGCTGCAAGGCGTCAACACGGGGGATATCGTGAGAAAGTCTGGGTATGTGACACTGTGGCTGTGACCGCCCCCCAAACCCCATCCATCACAGCCCCAAAGTTTTGCCGCTGAAGCACGACTTGCCACTTCCTCTTCTGATGGGTGACTATTGAGGCGCTGGCTGAAAACCCCGACATCTCAAGATTCAGAAAGTCAAGCTGTCCTGCACCAGAACCTGCAATGCTGAATGAGATAGGAGTTCATGGCTCTCCTGTATGTAAACTCCTGTCAAAGTCATTTTTCTTCAAGCTTCAATGAAATCTGTTTCATTAAAATCTGTAATAAATTTCAATAAACTCTATTTTTAGAATGGGGTGAAAACGAAATGTAAATACGTTTTGTAAGGAATCGCAATTTTGAGATCATGCCACAAATTTTCAATCAGAGTCAGATCCGGGCTCTGGCTAGGCCACTGCAAAACCTGGATCTTCTTTTTGTCAAACCATGCTTTGGTTACTTTTGCGCAGTGTTTCGGGTCATTGTCCTGCTGAAAGTGGTAACGTCGTCCAAGTCCCAATTTGATGGCTGTCATTTGAAGGTTTTCTTCCAAAATCTGGATATACTTCTTACTATCCATTCTGTATTCAATACGGACAAGGGACACAGTGCCTGGCCTAGAGAAGCGGCCCCAAAGCATGACGCTCCCCCACCATGCGTGATGGTAGGTATGCTGTTTGGCAGATCATTGGCAGTCCCTTCCATCCACCAGACAAACGTCTTTGTAAAATAAACATTTTTAAATATTTATAAAATAGAATTACTGTTGACTGTGTAAGCTGCCATATTGAAATGACATTACAGGGGAAACTCGGACAACAAAATTCTGTCCGACATCAACATCATAAAAGAGGCGTGTTTCTGAAGGGAAGTGATGTTTTTCGTGACGTTTTCATCCGAGTTCCGACTCGGAGAGAGATAATCGAATGCAGGATGAGGCTAAGGAGCTTGGCAGTCTTCTGGGCACCATTAGCATTTTTAAACACATTAAACACAGTGCTTCTCAAGTCAAGTTTTTGAGGTTTCACCAAATAAGCCACTTGTACTGGTTTCTCAGTTGTATGTTCCTAAGAACTGGCCTAAATAATCACTTATGGACCAGTCAACAAGCTAGAGGATAAACTGATTGATTGTTTACACCTGTTTTCATTTACCTCATTGCATTGTTAACATTAATACAGTCTGCAAGCTATTAAAGGTCGAATACTTATTCAACAGCAGATTTCACTGATATGTTCTTTATTGTTGTTGCATATGTTTGATTTTCTAGGATTTTTTTGTGAAAATGTATTGTCCAAGAGCCCATTATTTGTACGTAACAGTATGAAACTAAAGATGCATTTTCAAAGAAAAATATTACAAGAAATTTAAAACTTCTCTAGAGGGTCAACTATTTTGTCAACCCACTGTGGTTACTAGTTTATGTTATTTGCATAAACCATACATTTTATATAACTGATCAGTATAGGTTTCCATTCATTTACATAAACGCCACATGAAACACAGATGACAAACTACAGAGAATAGCTCACCATAGCATCATTTCCTTTTTAAAATTAGCCGGTAATGGAGCAATTAAGGATACAAACCCAGAGCCGTTTACAGTCTCCTCTGGGTGCACAAATCAGGCATCAGAATGGAGTAAAAATGTTGCTATGGTGCTTGGTGCCAAACACGGTGGTGTGAGTATTTCAGAAATTGCTTATCTCCTGGGATTTTCACACACGATAGTGTCTAGAGTTTACACAGAATGGTGCGAAAAACAAAAAGCAGCCAGTTAGCGGCAGTTCTGCTTCCTGTGGTTTTTGACCTGAGTGTTTTTTTATTGGTTTCATTCACTGGGCAACAGGGTGTGAATTGATGGAGTGTTGCAGTATGGGACTGCAGCTAAACTAAAGCTGGGGGGGGGGCGGTAGGGTGGGGGTTAGGTGGGGTGGTATGTGAGTCCTCTTACCTCTGTCAGTTGATCCTCTGGGGGTGCCAGGTGTTTAAACTGATTATGGTACTGTAGGACACTCTTGAAGAAATCAAGAACTGTTTGACATGGAACTGCCAAGACAGATGAAGACGAGACAATTAGAAGAATCTGAAAAAACTCCCATCCGGTCCAATAGAGCCACTGCAGTTAGAGCGAAATTGCCTTTGAAACAGCACAGATTATTAAAAGGAATGAAGAATCCTGACCATAGGTAGCTGGTCAAAAAGGATCACCATTAATTCTGTCAGCCACACCTACTCTGCTTCCTGATAGGTTCAAATCCATCAATGAGATACAACAATAGCAGATATAAGGCTTCAGAATAAATCAATAATCTGAGGACTAGGCAACTGTGACTTGGGGATTTCTTAATGATTTAATATGGAACCGAAATGGACTCTGAGGAACAGTTTTATACCATTGGCAGTGCATTAATGTTGTTTGTACCTTGGGATAACGATGGTGGCAGAGCTGTGCCCTTTTGTCTGACACTGTAAGTTGCAGTGTGCTTAAAGGGTCATTGCAACCTTTCTGCTGTTAAATTTAATTCCTTATCATAATTTGCACTACAACATCCTTGGGTTTGCCTAAAATTAGAGCCAAGTTAAGTCTCTGGGCCTGAGCAAAGGGCAGTCCACAACCATAACTATAACCAGCATAATCGGTAACCAGGGAGAAGAGGGTTGCAACTCTACCAGTTACCCACTATATGCTTTGAAGCCTCATTTCTTTCAACACTACTAATAGCTGAATATAATGCAATAATACATCCGAGACATTAGGAGGCGCTACCTGGTGCACTGTCCAGCTTTCTCCTCAGTTCCTCATTCTCCTGTTGCAGACACAGCACCTCCTGCTCTAGCTCCAGGCAGCGAGGGCAGCAGGCTTCTTCATCTTCCTCTTCCTCAGGGAGGGTGGATGAGGGGTGTCCGTGGGATTCGGAGGGCGAGGGGGAAGCCCAACCCCCCAGGGTGTGCGGGGGGGAGATGGAGATGGCCTGGGGGTTGGAGGGGCGGCAGCATTCCCTGTAGGCCTTAGGAAAGCTGGCGCCCCCTGCTGTAATGTGGCTCTGCAGGGACTCTGTGAAGGCGTGCAGGAAGGTGCACATCTGCTGCTGCTTCCTGCTGAAATGCAGAGCCTCCACCTCCTGCCCCACGCCGGTGCCTTTCACATCCCTCAGCCCCATCCTCCCCGGCTGGCAGGGGTCCGCGGGCTTTTCCACCCCTGTGTTCCAGCCATCTTCCTGCTTGATGTAGGACGTCGCAGGTGGAGGAAATGGAGGACGTGGTTCCAGGAACTTGCTGTTGTGGTTGAGGAGACTGAGCACTCGACTGCATTGCTGTGCAAAGGCGTCCAGGATGAGCTGGTTCTCTGAGGCACAGATGGACCAATTAGACAATGGCTCCCAACATGCATCACTGCCTGCCCAGGATTCCACTCCCATGAGCCTCTGCCAAAGGTATAGCTGCTGAAACAAGCAGCCTACCTGGGCTCATTCAGAGGTCTCTTTGTGTCAGTGCTCATTATTTACCTCCCTTCCCCCCACACCAAGAACAAGACATTTCCTTACATAAGAAGTAAAATGGAAAGTTATGCACCATGAAGCATGTCTTTTAAAAAAAGAAAATGATTAAACAAATCCACAGCTGCTTTGAGGTTTCCGTTCATGGTCTCTGTCGCGGGCTATCTGACAGAAAATGATTGTGTAACGGCTTCCTGTCTCCACAGAGCTGAAGCGCTTTCAGTACATCTGAGCACCATTTCATAAAATTAAATGGGGCTTTCAAATGAATCCACACTGTGAAAAAGACAAATCTTCATAAACATGCATTTTTTGTCGTCAATGACGGCAAAACAGACTGGTTTTGCCAGTTGTGTCAGTGACATATTGCTTCTTAAATACTGTAACGCAATTAAAATTATCTGCTTCCATGGTCAAATCGGCTTACCACTGAAAATGATCTTATATGTGTGCATCATGGCGAAGAAATGGACAACAGGCTCCTTTTCCAGATTGCAGTTAGACGTATGTTGAAAAGCCTAAGGTCTAAGTCTGAAGTGAGAGACTGCAGGATCTTGCTGTTGTACCCTTGAGAAAGGACCTGAAGGAATTGCATAAATGGGTAAACACTTGTATTTTATATCAATAATCTGATGGCTATTCAATTATGATTTGGGGTTTTAATACTGATTTGGCTTTTCACTGTGATTAACCATTATTCATTATATTTAGGCCACAAGATAGGGAGCACATCTTGAAGTGAAATCATGTGGAAATCACAAAAAAGAACGATGGTTATATGTTTAAAGTGGTGGCTAAGTACTTTACCTAATGTCCTTCATGCTTTTTATACAGTTTTTTTCTAGCAATATTTAATTGGAGCAGTTGCAATAAGCATTTCACTGCAGGTTGTACTATGTATGATGATGCATGTGACAAATAAAATTAGAATTTGCTTTGAATTTGAACCCAAATCCTTAAAAGGTTACTGCAACCTTTTGTTGTGAGCTATGTGCTCCTTATCCTAGTTTATAATTAGCTTATAATTCCTCATCCTTGAGTGTGGCTAAAGTTTGGGTTAAGTAGAGTCAACGAGGTCTGTAAACATCTATTTTGTACCAGGAAGGGGACACATGTTGTCCATGTGGGGTTTTCCCATTTCTGATTGGCTAAAGCGTTAATGTACATTAATGTGATTGGGTGAGAGCTTCATATCATGTGAGAGGCATGATGTATCCAGAATGGAGAAAACCTAAGGAGATGGAGACACTAGAGTTTGCCTGGTGGGACTCTCAGAATTTTCTTTTATTTTGTTAGTTTGTCTCTCAATAAACTTAGACCCCTGACTACTTGTGAGGTCACCTTGGATAAAACCTAAGCTCATTTTAAACACAGAGAGGCCATCTGTGAAGTTCAATGTGGTTAGTCTACAGGATACTATATATCAGACTGAAGTATGAATAAAAAAACATTTATTCATTTGTTTTTCTTTTAATTTTAAAATCAGCTAATTTATGCAGCATTTGTTAAAGATGGTGTTTCAACAAAGTATCACAAGGCATAAGATTGTGTCTGACACCATCATTCACACAATGCTAATAAAATGGCTGCAGGCAGTGGCTGGTTCACAGTTCGCAGCAGCTATCTGCAAACCACATCACAACTATGGCGCAGTGAGAAAATCGTTAGCGAGTAGCAGAACCTTAATATGAATATGAAGGGACTAGCTAAATGTAGGGTTGTGTGTAAGAGTTCATAGACCTAGTAAAATGAAGGCGATGCTGATGATTAGGGGACTGTATATGGTCTGTCAGTTTTTATCATTGCAAGATCTATTTGTTCAAGCTGACAAATTAGCTACACTATGTGCGTAATTTCCTGCTCATTACTCTGGATCATTTTTTGAGATCTTAATAGGATTTCTGCTATTATAACAGCGTTACAAACTATACTGAAATGCTGCAAAGGTCAAAGTCTCTCAGAGATCATGCAGCTTGGAGCCAAACCAGTAGTTTTTCTAATTTCACTGTTTTCCTTTTTTGGTGCTTGGCTTACACTGGTGGAAAGATCAGGTCCAGGAAGTTAAAATCCAGACCCAGTTTTAACCAACAAGCGGAATACTGTGTGATTGTTAATGTTGGGCAGTATGACCAAAAATCTGTTGTGGTATTTTTGTAAATTCTGGCAGGTTCACAGTATATCATGGTATTTTTTTTTTTAAGTTGACCAGTACCACTGCAGCAAGCAATACGTTTAGGAATAAGAATTCTTTCACCGGCATATTTTATTAGATTAATAGTATGTATTTGGGTAGATAGAAACATGTTTCATTGATTATAACCGTACATTAATCTCCATACAGACATGTTTCATTTATTATTGCCATATATTTAGCTTAGTAACAACATGTTTGCTTAATTATTACCAAGATAAATCGATAATTTTATGGATTTTGTTTTACCTAATTATATTACACTTAATCTAAATTTTCAGGCACAGACTGAAGCAGTAGCTATAAATATTACAATGCTGAACAGTTATATATGGAGAATTGTTGTATTATAACGTTATAACCATTAGTAAGAAGGGTACAGTATGCACATTTACTAAGGGTAAACCCTCTCAATACACTCAGCACAGTGATCTACAGCGATCTTCTAACAGCAAACAATATTGTATAATTTCCTGCCTATTCAAGCATTATAGCTGTTGTTTAAGCTATTCTGTAGTATGGCAGTATATGAAAAATTCATACCATATTGGAAATTAAAACCGGTAAACCAGATGAACTGGTATACTGCCCAGCAATATTGACTGTGACTGTTTACTCAACTGATTGGTTGAAACTAAACTGTTGTTGCCTTACAATACAAAACACTTGTGTGGTCCCTTGAAACATCTATTCATCTTATGACTGCTTGCCCTGAGCCGGGTTGTGGAAAGTAAATTTGACATTGGTAGGCCCTGGAGGGGAGGCATATTGAGTCTGTTATGTCTTAGGCCTTAGGCAAGAAGAGATTGTTTTGAATACTGTGTATCCTTGTCTCATGGTAGCCTGCATGTAGTCAGTCAGCAGATCTGGGAGAGACGGGCAGCAGAGAGAGGGGGGGGGGGTAACCATCTGCAGGAAGGGATTCGAAGCTGCCCCAACTGGTGCGCAGAGAGATGTAGTTATGAAGACGTCAAACTAGAGCATACGTAGTATGTGGTAGTACAAATGTAAAGTAGCTATCACATTAATCATATGTTAACCATGTATTTACAGTGAATCAATATCTATATCCATATCTGAAGTAGGAGTCTAGCGGTTGAGACATGTTTTGAGAAACTGAGCAAAATGGGTGGATTTACCCTGCTACCAAGGAGAATCAATAGAGCAGGAGAATTGTGTTAGTTATACGTTTCAGCTTGGTTTGTTGGTGGTTTATGACCAATTAGGACTTAGAAGTCTTTATAGAGAATTGGGAGTTATGGTTTATCAGCTGGTTGCTTTTTGTGCTCGGGGTACCTGGTGCCAGAGTGTGATGGAACGCTTTGCTGGATTCCTTGAATAAAAGAGATAACTTTGCTCACCAACTGAGAAGTCTGGAGTTTTTTTTAAGTGGCTTAACTAGAGTTATTAGAAAGGTTGATTTATAATTTTTCTACCACCCAACTTTGCTTTCTCAGTCCACTGATTCTCCTGTACGGAATCGCCAATGACATCCCTCAGCTGAACAGCAATGGAATTTATAGGTCCCTAATTACATGCCCCTGTGCCATATTATTTGTGAGTACTTTAGCGCTCCTTCCTCACTGTCTAGCTGGGTGACCAAATTGAGGCATGTATACCAGTCTCTGTTCAACACTGCCCTCCCTCATTAGTTTAGCACATAATTATTGAATATATATTCATTAATAATTTTATTACAGAAGGTGCTGGACCCTTCAACAACATCAGCCTAAGACCCTATAATCAACTTGAGCATAAACTGCTGGATCGTATATTAAAAATTTACTCAGGAGTTTAATGTTTTGATGTTATGAATGTGTTTAATAAATGGGCAAAAAAATGGAGGGATGGATGACTGTAAGTGTTGTAATTCATGGATTTGTGTTATTCTTCACCCCTTTGTACAAATGCAAAAGAATCAAAATGATGATTTTGTGTATTTGTTTGCATAAATAGATCTCTTTCTGGGAGGTAATGCACTATTATCCATGTAGCACATTATGCGACTATCACATCACCTCCATTCTCATCTTTCCTTTGAAGTGAAATGAAGCCATGCTTTAAGGCCATACGTGCTGATAAAGCAGTCAGAGCGCAGGGACCTCATATCCGGCCCCCCGCCGGCATGGATAATGCATCTGTACACCAAAGTAAAGACAGCATTAGTGTCTCACTGAATCAGACGAGAGCCTGATGGGAGGACCGAAGGAATTATCAGACACTTCAAAGGGAACTACTGGTTGGCAGGTTCATATGTTTTTTCCCTCACCACAAATGAGCGAACGTTTGAATAGCTGTAGTGCTACTAAGAGCATGATGACCTGAAAACTCACTCTGGGCCCCTCACCTGATGTGCAGCACGTGTACGGCCCAGAAATCCCACCTCCGGAAGTTCAGAGTCTCCTATAAAATGACAGCAGCTCCCTGACACCCACGAATGATGTCAGAAAATTCAACCTCTTACATTCATTTAGTGCTTGGAGTGTCCTCCCTGAAATATGCCTACAGTGGGATATCCAATGTCAGTGGGTAAAAGTAACTAATAAAACTACAACCAATTCACTACAAAATCCAACTAAATGGAAAGCTTATACAACTCTGCAAAAGTCTGAAATCTGACTTTTTCGGACTGGTATACCGGCAGACTCAGTCCTGACA